TATATATATATATATATATATATATATATATATATATATGACTAGAATAACCCTTTTGACAAAATATCAAAAATTTTTATATTTGATTGATTTATTGTATATTTTATTGATGAAAGATCCTACAAACCACATGTCATTGTATTCAGTGTGAAAAACCATCTTAAAAGTACACCCATATGGTCCTTAGGAAATGAAACAGCAGATGTACCAAAAATGCCCCTATGGTATTCAAGAAGTTAGCATATATGTTATGCTATCGAAAACATTTTAATTAACCCTATAGTTTTGATAATGTAGTATACCACTGCAACTTTCTCTTATTTGGACAGAAGTATACTGTCTAACACTTGCTAGAAACTGAAAGTAAATTTGGTTCACAAATGACCTTAATAAATAGCACAAATGTATAATTACAACAAACATATAATAATTAATGCATAATATATTTGAGAATGTATTTAATTTTGACAGTATTATGTGAAGCTTTATTTATATTAAATAATTTAAAAAATTTAATCTATTACAGTACACCACTGATTTTCCGGCAACTGATGGGCTGGCACCTCCTGATTCGCTCAGTTTTGTAAATGGCATTTTGGTCTTTTGATAGACCAGGGAGGGTCAGGTGCATGAAGACCTCTTCTTCCTTTCCCAACTATAATTTTAATGCTATTGAATGTTTATGTAGATATGTCATAAGGGTCGGAGTAAACCGCATTTGCTCCGACCCCTTTCAGGGCAATGTTCATGTACGTATCTGCATTTACATTCTTGTGTTGTGCATAACATCTCTTAATTCAATGTTGTAAAATCTTACACTTAACGAACAAATCCATATATGCGTACAACACATTTGAAACTACCCTTTAAATGTATTTGTTTTAGTCCAAACTAGTGTAGGGTTAAGGTCTAGTAGTACGTGGCCTTATTTAATCCTCATTTCTAAACTAAATGTTTACAGGTGAGAGGTACTTAGGTCTACTTCCATCATGTATGTAGTGGCGATCAAGTTCACAGAGTAGGTCATTCTTTTATCAATTTTTCCCAAAGTAATTTAGAGTATTATGCAAGAGTCTATTGGCTATTGTTTGTATATTTGCATAGCTGTGCATAAATTTTTATTAGGTGCTGCAGGGGACTTTATATGCTGTGGTAATAAGAGCATTTTGTATATATTGTAGCTTATTTATGTGTTTGGGAGCTGTGTTTACCCATGCGGGGTAAGCATATTCTACAATGGAATGTATATATGTTTTGTATATTTTGATAATGTGTCAGGTGATGTTCCCTGGTTTTTGCCTGTTAGACTTTTTGCATAATTTGTACGTTTCCAGATTTTTGTAATATATTATTCGTATTAGTTTTACCCACATCAGTTTTGGGTCAAAAGTTAATACTAAACATTTTGCAGAGGTTGTGGTATGGAGAAGTGGTACATTCATATATAGTTTAGGTGGGTCTTTTTTGTTTTGTTAGTCTTTTGTTAGTAATTGGTTTTTAGGAACGTTTACTTTTATTCAATATTCTTGGCAATATTCTTCTATATTATTTAGCAATGGTTGCAGATTTGTTGCTGCTATGGATAGGGTGGGGGCACTTTTCCAGACCGCAACATTGTCCGTGAATTGTGATGCAAATCCATGATTAGGGTCTTTTAAAGGCATATTGCTCACATACATGATGAATGGAATAGAGCTCACTACCCCTACTTGAGGGACACCTGCCTCTGGGGTGAATGACTCAGAGTAGGTTCCCCTGACACTTATTTTACAATTTCTATTTTCCAAAAAGTTAAATAGCCAGCAAATAATCACCCATGGTAGTTCCAATTCCATCATGTGGAACCTTAGACCATTGTGCCATACAGTGTCGAAAGCTTTCTCATCATTGAGAAAGCAAGTGACAGTGCATTCATTTTTATTAAAACTATCTTTTATCCAGACAAAATTACAATAGTGTACTTGAAATTCCCACGACCACCAGACCATCCTTACTGGGTGGCCACAGATGGCATTGAGTGTGGCGCACACTCTTTCTGGACAGGCTACTTACATTTTAAGTAGGTACGGCACTCTCGTGAAAATATTCTTATAAATATTAAACTAGTGGATCAAATTACTTGGATTTTTTCATGAATATTGCCAAGAATATGTAGTTTTACAAGATACAAATATTTAGTTTCGATTTTTACTTCAATTTTTACAACACAGAATGGTGATAATAAAATATAACGTACTTGAAAATAACAATAATAATAATAACAGTAAAACTCTAAAATTTGCCACTTTGTAAGCAGTACTACTGCAACATTCTTTGTAAGTACAATAATCAATAAACATTTTTAATTGATACTTGTACTAATGTATTTAATTAATCATTTAATTCACATTTAAGTTACATTCAATATTTGTTTTATTTAAATTCTAGCAGTCCATGGTGCTTTAGAGATGCAGGAGGGGTATAATTAGTGGGTCAGAGGTGTATTGTTGAATTATTATTATGTGACCTCTGTTGATACGGCAAAACTGATAATCCGGCAAGGCTCTAGAACCTAGGGTGCCGGAAAATTGGTGGTGTACATGTAACCGTAATACAATGTATACTCATAACTAAAAGGTCTACATTACTATAAATTCTTCAAAGTTTAGATAATGGTGAAATAATGTTTGACCAGAAACAGAGGGTAAATCAGATCCACAGATTTTGTTTGTTTATGGCAAAGCTACTAAAACTACCATCGATAATTCTGAGCTGCCAACCAGTGAAAGCAACTGTCTGGCATCACCCATCACCAACTCCATGGCTACTCTTTACCAATTAATAGTGGGATTGACCATTAAATGTTAATGCTCCCAGCTAAAAGGGTAAGCATATTCAGCACTGGGCCCACAGATTTTGAAAGAAAATTCTTAATCTTTATTAACTCTCTCGCAATGAAGTTAGTAAAATCAACCGACCTCATAACCGCTTTTGTACTCATTAGTTTCTATAGTATAACTTTTAATACACTTTGTGTATCTTCACAAAATTTAGCAGACTTTTAGCAAACATTACAAGTCTTTTGCACACAAAAAAATAAGGTTTTTTTAATGAAATATTTTTACTAAAGATTTATCTGTAATTATATATAGTATTTCTGTATACTAGTCCAAGTGCTAAGTGATTTCCACACTTTTCTGCATCTCCCAAATCTTAAATTTTATTTGCATAATCTCTAAAACCTTAAAAAAACTTTTTTTTCAGTAAAACTTTACATCTTACCTGTTATTTTCTCTATCATAACTTTATACAAGGTTGGTCAATTCTACTAACCTCGTAATCACCAAACAAAAAATAATTGAAATAAATCTAAATCACCCCTTTTTTTTTCTAGAATTACTTAAAATTGTAATATGAAACTACATTTCTTTATCCTAAATAGCTTTAAACTCTTAACAGTATACATCTATTTATAAATAAATTTTATTGTTTTATTGCCCTTTGAATCCTGTCTAATTACTATTAGTGCCATTATAAAATGTAAATCACTTGGCAAATGTGCAGCTCACATTACGCTATCAAATTATATTATGCATGAGCTACTCACAAGCTGCTCACAAGTATATCCCATGAAAAATTTTATTATATTACTACTTATTTCACCTAATCTAACCTTAACTAACACAAAAAGTTTCCTATTTTTTACATTTCAATTATTTTTATAATAATAAAGAATATAAATGAAAAAAAGTACTTACCTGGGGTCTTTTTTTTTGCTGTTGACTGTGGATGACACTTAACCCTACTTTTTTATACTAATGGTAGTAATGTTTTATTTAATTGAATAATGCACCAAAAAACACTGAATAATAACATGCAAAAAAGCAGACAATCTCCCATAACTGGTTCTAACTATGTGACAAGAGCCATTAAAACTTCATCTAAGCTTGTTGATATGTTTCCCATGGGAATCAAGCTTGAACTGAAAGCAAAATTGACAATTCTCTTTACAGAAAACAATGTAACATAATACATCAGTTGATAGATGAAACCTTCACTTTCTACTGGTTATAAATATGTAGCATTGTACATCAGAGAGAACTATTGGTAATTTCTGAAACAGAGGATGTGACAGGTGGGCATGGCACTCTGGGTCTGGTTGTCTATTTCATAACTCTGTAAGCAAATAAGATTAAAGGCTATGAAAATTATGCTTTGCTTTAGTGATGATGATATTATAATAAGTAATTTATGTTAAATTTTGTACTTCTTGGAAGGGTGGTAAATAAATTAGAGAACATGAGATGCCTAGAGAGCAAATGCCACAATTCTCACACTAACAGAAATTCTACATTTTTTTAACATTGCTTTATAAAAGTAAGAACTTAAAACTTGTATAATATTAAAATATGGATTATTAGCTACATTTTTATGCTCTATTTATTGGTATAACATGGAAAAAAAGTAGTTTAATAAAATTTTGAATGTAACTCACTGTATTCTTGTGACATGCACAGAAAAAAAAGGTGCCCTTAGAGAGAGGGTTAAAACATTTTACATCAAGTGAACCATTACTTATTTCCATGTATTTCTAAAAATAAGTTTGAGTACCAGATACTGTATATTTCATTTCTAATTCAGCTGGATACATTTTTTTTGTTTTTTTTTAAATCATATTCCTGGATTGTTTAACTGATAATAATAATAATAACTGGTAATAATACCAAAATACTGTATAATGAAAAAAACTGACCACGAGAAAAAAAACTGTGGTCAGATGGACAAGTTAAGATTAGCACTCTTTCAAATTTTGTGTCACTAATAATATTACAGTTAGAATAACAGTTGATATACACATCTATATATTTGATTACCTGTTCATCTTGAGGTGTATGATGCCTATTGTAATGAGACTGTAGCTCTCTTTCTGTTCCCAGCCTCATCTTGCATGCTGGACATACATACGTAGATCTTTGTGATGCTTCTGTACTTCCAACTGTTGCAGTTTCTATGTGAGCACTCTCATAGTGGTCCTGTAAAGCTTCTGGAGAAGGAAATGCCAGCATACAAGAGGGACACAGGAAACCCTATTGTATTGTTTAAAGTTCAAATATTCAAGTTTTAGAAACTGTAAAACACTACAATTTTCATCAAACTTTTAAATAAACCATTCTTTTCTAAACTTGTGAAACATTATTCCAAAAAATAAAGATACTTGTTTGCTAAACAATCACATTTTTTGGTGATGAGAAAAAAATAAACATGCTCATACTGGTTATTTTTAAGTGTCGTTTAACTACTCTATTAAACCCATTTACAGAAACACAAAAATTAAATTCACCTAATGCATAATCATATTACTTACTTTATTAGAATGTTCTTGTTTCAATGAACAAATAAATAAAAATATATTCTTATTATGTTCTGTGCCTATAAATTACTGTGTATTATCCCTTTATGGACCACAGGGATGTCACTGATTTCACTTGTTTTTTTTCTTCTCAGAGTGGAAATACTTACCCAACTTGCATGAAACTTATAACAAATTTACTAAATTGTATCAATTTTCAGCTTAAAATATTCGTATAATTTGATTTAGTTTTTCTCTCATTTTTATTTTTTTTTGCAAAATTTCAAAAATGTTCTTATGAAACATTTTTGAAAATTTTTTTAAATACTTCTTTTCATCTTAGAATGAATAACATTTTGTATTCTTAATCAGAAAGTTCCATTTTAAATATTCATTAACATATTTCTCTTGGAGCTTTATTTTACTTATAACAATAGTCACCTCTTCTGGCTATAAATCATAAAAAAACACAGAATAAGCTGACAAAAATTTATTGTTGACACAGAACCTGATCTTTCAATGTTGTTAGGTAAGGTTAAGTAACAATATTTCTGCTAACTATATTTTCAATACATAAAAAACTCTTATTTATATGGATTATTTGAATATGTTGAATTTTAAAATACTATACAATAAACTGGGATTTAAGTCATTGGAATATTTTGTCATCACCTACTGTACTCACTTTATCTATGTTTACATGATGTCTAGTCATAGAAGAAAATTTCCATAGATTTTAAATATAATTTAATAAAAAGAATTTTCAGGAATAAAGAGTCATCTAAAGAAACTATTAAAACATTTTCAGATCTGTGATTTGTTCCCAAGTTTTCTGGATTTCCCATTAAATTTTGCTATTCTTCCTTGGAGAAAGTAGGTCATTTCACTTTTCTATGAATTGATAAATTACTTCTCATGCCACTATTCACTCCACAGTGACATAAATAGTCTATAGTTTGCTCTATCCAGTGGTATTTAAGCTTTGCCTTAGCTATTTTTAATGCTAAGTTTCCTTAGCAGTTGTTCAGATCACACATTTAAAAACCATAAAAGGATGGCAATGAAAAGCTGTATCAATAACATCAGGGTAGAAAAGAAAAACAAAACATGGATAATTTTAATCTTAATGAATGATCATTTTTAACAAATATGAACTTATGCTTTGGAATATGTAGAAATATTCTAAAAAAACATAAGTGTGTTGTTTATAACCAAACATTACTCTGACCTGCACAGAAATGTATGCTTGAACAGTTTAATCTTTATTTGCAAATTGCACTACATAAATGTTACAAAATGACAAGATATCAATTCTAAAATACTTATCAAGTTAAACATTATTAAAATGAGTTATAATTATTATTTTTAGTTAAATTTGGAAATTTCATGTGCAGATGTGTACTCAACACCTGAAATGTGCTCAAAGGTCATAACAGAAATAAGACCATGTGAAAATAATTTTAAACTTTGACATTACAGATAAAATACTTTAGTACTACTCCATACAAAAAGCATTGTACAAGCATTAAGTTATGTGTGCATAACTGATTGACTAGCTAGTAAAGTTTGATGAATTTTCTATTTGGCTGTTTCCTATTTAGAGGGTATTGTTAAAAATTAAATGTTTTTTTCTGTTAATGGCAACTAGAATAATCACGTAAATTCAACAACTGTTTCTAGTTTAGAGAGATTATGAGCAATCCAGCCATGGTTCATATGAAATATTATCCCTTTTAGTCTGTGGCAAATGTTGTATGGCAGAAACTCTAAACATTTTTAGATCAGCCACTCCCCATATTTAATCGTCAATTGATTCAAAACTTTTTGTGGTCGGATATGCGAGTGTTGACAGTATTACTTTAAGTAATCATGGTATTCATTACAGTATATATTTGAAACTATTTTCCTGAATCTTCTCACAGACCTGTAGGATACATTTCATGCTCTACAGGTGAACAATCCACTGACAGTTTTATTAAAAATGACCCCCTTTTACCCGAGACAAATGTTGCAAAGAACTTTTAATCTTTTCTCTCTGAGAATTAATGTCATTCTGGATGAAAGAAATGCAAACATGGTAAATTTGGAATTAAAACTGAGCTATAAGGTTCTTAACTGGATGTCAAATTTTAACTTGAAAAATACAAGTTTCTTAGATTTTTTCAATGATTATTTTGTACTTAATATGCAAGTCTTTGCCAAGTAGTGTGTTATTTTGTAAAAGTGATTAATTCCAAAAAAATAATACCTTAGAAGCTTATGTACTAGAGAACTTAGGAATACAGTCTGTAGCAACAATTCTAGTTTTTTTGAGACTGACCTTTTTGCATGGAATGTAATGTGTGTGGTGTGCTAATGGGAACCAGCTTTTCTAGTTCAGTTATTTTAAAACAAGTATCCGACTGACATGTCAGAATACTCTAAAATCAGTGATATATATCAGGTCAGACACCTAAAGATGTAGATTTTTGCTATGAGTTATCTCTCCAAATTTAATTCTAAGTCAGATTTTTGTACTTTTTGTGTATCATAAAAATGTATTTTAGTTGAAAATCATGGGTACGACAGATGATGCAGGAAAAACAAAAACACCTAATTTTAATGTAGAGCTTTTGAAAGTACATCTCTTGAGACATGTCAGATGGTACTAAAATCTTAATATAATGGACATAGCATGTATATATATGTATCTATCTATGTATGTAACCGAAATAATAAATACAATGTGATGCCATTTATTGAATGGCACCACAAACAAAAATCCATAAAAAATTTCACATTGGGTATTCAATATTCAGACAATTAGAAAATAACTAAAGTATGTGCAACAATAATTTCTTTGTCACAGAACACAATTTTAAATAAAAGTACTCTCCTCACAACAAGAACATAACTGTCACTAGGACTGTTTGTGAAGGTTTGATTTTATCTTCATTGACTAATTTGTAAATATATTACCAATAACATGGAGTTCTTAAAAAAAACTGTTACTTTTTCAATACAGGGTACCACTTTTAATATATAAAAACATTAGTTTGTATCAGCACAATCCGAACATTTTTCCCATGCAGTACTTCCCACAAAAATCATCTTTTAGAAAATGTTCACTTTTTCTATAGTTTTTTCAATGGGTATCAATACTGTGAATACAGCTGCCTGTAGGGTGGCATTTCTGCTAGTGATAATAACCAGTGAAAGTTTTTAAAGGAATGGACAGAAAAAAACAGAGTTGTTATGATTAGTTGTCTATGAAGTTTTTGAGATGATGTTTTGACTACTATTTGTTCTGGGATCCTGATTTTTTCCTATACTTGAGGGTTTCTTTGTTCTACTTTGCATTCACTCCTTAGTTTGAGTATTTCTTACTAAATTTTTTCCCTTGTAACATTTACACTTGGCTCTCAGTCAATTTATATCTAGTGTCTTTCAATTTGGGTATTACATTTCTTTTGGTTTTTGTAAATTTTTCTATTTTTTAATATTGAATTGAGTTTGCTGGATTAAAGATACATAACAAAATATTCTAATATAAAATTAATGGCTCTGGTCAGAGCTCGGAGATTTCCTAGTGACAAGATTCTCATACGTGAACACTTTGTCAGCAGGTTAGTAAATTATTATTTATGTGTATGGTTTTGTCTATCATATTAGCTGGAAAGATAGTTTAAAGTTATATAAGACAGAAAAATGCTTTTCCAGCTGGGAGAAAAAATCTTATATTTCGTTTGGAAGACAGACTCATAAAGCAGTTGTAGATATTAACAATTTTGTTTTTTCCTTTTCAAGTGTAAATATATATCTAATAACTGATTATGTTTTTATTTATGAACATTTTGGATTTTTACCTCTTTTTTTTTTTACATCAAATCACTTTTACAAATTCTTACATTTCACAATTATTGAATCTGGCTTTTTATACAAGTGTAACTGAGGTTGAAGATCACAATACGAATCATTATAAACAACAGGAGAATACAGCTGTTTAAAGTTCTATATCAGTCAGCAAAGAGATAATAAATGCCAATAATAAACAATTTTTCCAGTTGAATAAAATATATACATATATATATCATACCTCAGCTGCAGTTTGCTGATCATTCCCATCTCGATCATTAGAAGTAACTGGTGCTTGTTGAGCTGGGATCTGAAATTATGTTAGCTCGTTAATAAAGATTTACATAAACCCAATTCAGATACATCAACAAACTTTTTTACTTATATATACTCTCTATGTAATACATGGTGTAACGTATCAGGTTATCAGGCACATAAACAATAGTGATGACAAATACCTTTAACAAAACAAATGAATTTCTGTTATGTAGGAATTAAATGAATAACATCAACTCTTTCATAAACCTAATAAAATAATTTCATATCTGGAACTTTTTGAAGTGTTTCAAACTTACTTTTTACCTCAGAGTTATGCATGTAAACATGGACTCAAATAAGAAACATTATAAACATGCTCATTTAATATCAAGAAAGAAATAATTATTTGAATACAACTATGATTACAAAAACAATGAAACATTATATCTTTGTAATTATTTCAAACTACATGTAATATATAAATAAAGATATGTCTGTTAACTATATATGTACAAAATTATTGATTATTGTACATTTTCAAAAATTCAAGTAAATATAAGTATATATGCAATACAATGTCTTTAACCTTTACATTCATTTGTGAGTTGGAAGGAAGAAATTTTTAAACCACTGCTGTAAATTAATAACAAATTTAATTTAAAACCTTAACACACTGATCTAAAAACTAGGTTAAAATAAATGCAAAGTTTAAAAATCAAGTGTAAGACATTTCAGTTGTATTGTTTTCTTCAGAAACATCTAGACTTGATTTTTAAACCTTGTTGTTGTTTTTTTTAACATAATTTATTAGATTGGTGTGTCAACAGTTCATACTATCTGGTGCCTCAGGATTTTATTGTAGAAGCATTATTTTTACACGCCTGAAAAAGTCTAGATGCCAATGAATGAGAAGATACAGAATAATTAAATTTTTTCATCATTGTTAACTCTTTGGATTTAATAGTTCGACATTTGTTGTAACTATGCAACATTTGAGAGTCTATCTCGAGGAACTGTTAATAAAGCAACTTGATAAAACTCTATGTTTTTCTGCTTATAACTGGCAAATTATTGGACTGATTGTCACCAAACCTGAAACGTACTCTTACGGCCCTCTAGGTAGTGATATGGAGTGTCACTGCTTGGATCCAACCACTCTATGTCTTCCCTGTGTGTTTAATTAGTAAAAAATAATTGACATGTTTGTTCTTAGAACAGAACTTCTGCTATTTTTCAATGAAGATACCTGTAGATAATGGGTACCTTGATCTTATATCAAGATTTTGATATGGTGCAAGTTAATTACATAGTTCAATTGTAACAGAGTTGGTGAAAATATTAAAATTGCAACAAAAGGAATGATGATAGATGTGTCCCTAAGGAGATCTGTTTCAGACTTCTGTTGTTCCTGATTAGATACATAAATGATTTGCATAGTTTCTTTGAAAAATATATTTCCAAATTCACTAATACAACTAAATCTTTAAGTGTAGAAGGCCTACATTTGATTTAAAATTCTAAAAAAATAAACAAGCCCAAACTATCAGCCAGTTTACCACTTGTCAAAGGGTTATACCAATTTCAGGAAATCACAAAGCTCTAAGCAAAAGTATAAAAGTCAGGCTCCTAGTTCAGTAAACCATGTAGTCCAATGTCAAAGCAACTGGGCCGATACAACAGAATATGTCAACTTGGTTATAGCAGGGGAATGAAAGTATTGCTGCTAGCTTATTAAAAGTGTATAACTTAACATGTCACAGTAACTGTGTACTATTTGTTGCATCAACATTAACATTCCTTCTTTTCAACACCTTTTATTTTGACCAGTATGTTTTTACAACATGTTACACAGCACATTGTATACATAATAACCCTTATAATTTATCCTTTTCTTTAATTTATTAGTATACATCAATTTTTATTTTACCTTAGAAATATCATATTTACCACGAACACTCAAATGGGATATTAGGAAATAAAAAAAACTACCGTATTTGCCGGTGTACAAGATATTTTTTTACTCTTAAAACAATACTCGATTTTACCCCTCATCTTATACACAAGTTCAAAGATAAAGTTCCTGTAAGAACTTTCTGGTTAATAGCACACTTAACAAAAAATACGTTGTTCCTTTTACTTTTGTTTGCTTTTTGAGTAATTGCATTGACATCCTGCCACCTACTGCATTACAATAACATATTTGTAATTGTATCACTTGTATTGATTCTTCATAACTAGAAGTTATTTGTCTCATATGCTAGTTACAATTAATCAAGACATTTTTTATTTGAAATGTATTGATCTCATCCATCATACTAAAATATTGCTAATATTATATCAAGAAAGTTAGTTCCTGTAACATACACTAATTTTGTAAACATATTTATAAAAGTATATCAATATATCTTAAGGTTTTAGTATTTTTTTGTAATAGAAAAGGAGTTTAACTGTGACGAAAACTTTGTAAAGTTGTTTATTACATTTGTGAGTTAAGTTATGCTACACTGAGCTGTCTGTAGCATTTGAAGAGCATAAAAACCACACTTGTGGTTGTATTGATTACCCCAGAGTACAGATTAGCACAGTTTAAAAATAATTTCTTAGAATTTCTTTACAAAAGTAACACCCTAGACTTGCTTGACAATAGAGGTCATCCTATACACCAGGGTCATTTTATACATGGGATCATTTTATACACCAGCAAATATAGTACATGAAAAACAAAAGGTTGGTTGAAAATGTAAAAATTAATAGTAAGAATTTCTTTAAATAAATTAAGAGTAAGCAAAATATAAGGATGGGAGTAAAACCTTTGAGGGATGATACATGAAGACTCGTACTTGCTGATTATGAGATGGCTGAGTTATCAAATTCTATTTTTCTTCAATTTTTTACTAATTAAAATTTAGGAATTATTCCTCACCATGAACAACTACTAGATGGAAAAAAGATCAAACAAGGTTATCACATTAATTCTGTGCTTAAGAATATATTGAGAAAGCTCCTGGGCTAGATAATATTTTCCTGGGGGTTTTGAATGATGTTAAGGATTGGATATGTGAGCCACTTGCTACTATTTTTTGTAGTCTTCGAATAATGGGCAGATGCCAAATGATCCAAAGTTAGCTAATGTTACACCTCTTTTCAAGGGAGGTGATAAAAATTGTCCCAGTAATTACAGACTTTTTAGTGTTACATTAATGGTGGGAAAAGTTTTTGAATGTTTGATAAAAGAATCTTTGCAAAGTCATTTAACAAAGGTCAACATATTGTTGGATAGTCAGTATGGTTTCACTAAAGGAAATTCTTGCCTTGCCAATCTCTTAACATTTTTTGAAGAGGTTACTGCTCATGTATATGAAGCTACCAATGTGGATTTGATGTATCTGGATTTTCAGAAAGCATCTGACAAGGTGCAACATAAAAGACTATAAAAAAAATTATCTCTGCAGGTATGGGTGAGGTGGGGGTAGGTTGGATCATTAGATAGAAAACTGTCTGGATAGAAGAAAGCAAAGGGTTGTTATAAATGGAGTTCAGTCATGCTGGATTAATGTCACAAATGAGGTACTTCAGCACTCAGTGTTAGGACTTTTGGTCGTTTTGATTTTTGTCAATGAGGTAGATGAAGGAATGATCAATAAGCAATTTATTATTTGCCAATGATATTAAAATTTTGGGTGTTTCTGGCTGTGAGGAGGATGCTGCTGGTTTAAAAAAGATTTGGATTATTTGGAAAGCTAGATGAACAAATTACAGATGGCTCTTAATTATAGAAAATGCAAGGTAACGCATGTGGGATATCATAATTTGAATTATGAGTGTAATTTTGATGGGAATAACTTCAACAATGTTAAGTAAGAAAAAGATATTGATATTCTAGTTGATATGTCTCTTAAGTCATCTGAGGTATGTGCAGTTGCTATTGGCAGGGCAATTAGGATTTTAAATTGTATCTACAGAAATATAAGTATAAATACATGATAATTTCATTGTATAGGTCACTGATTAGGCTACATTTAGAGTATTAAGTTAAGTTTTGGGCTTCTTATGTTAGGAAGTGCATTGGAATTATTGGAAAGGACTCAGAAGAGGGCTACTAGGATGATACCTGGGATAGAAAGGTTGTCATACAAAGACAGCTTAAGATCTCTGAAATTTTCTGTTGAAAAAAGAAGATTTAGAGGGGATCTGATCAAGGTGTTTGAGATTTTTAAGGGAATTGATAGTGTTGATGCATCAACTTTTTTCATACTTAATGGTGAGAACGGTGGGACAAGGAGACATAAATATAAATTCTGTGTTAGGATAGGAGTCACCTTCAGCTAAGACATCTTTATTTTTCTGAATGGGTGACTAGCCTTTGAAATGGGTTGCCTTCAGATGTGGATCCAGTTAATTTTAGTGAGTTTATGGGATGGCTTCATAAATACTTGAATGATAAGGGCTGGCTTTGAGTTTTATTTTCATTTTAAAGTTGGGTGAATGAGACAGCCTAGATGGACCAACACTGTTTCATGTAGTGATTATATTCTCTCTGATGTTACTCTAAATTTGAGGCAATTCAGTTGAGGTGTCATTCTCCATGGATTGTGTTGTTCCATGATAATGTAGTTTCATTGCCTTGTGTTGGTCAATGATATCTCTTGTCTCATATGATTATATTGTACCTGATGTTACTCTAATTGTGAGATTACTTTGTGACTAATATGTGAGAAAGAAATCAAAATTTTTTGCAATCCAACTTTTCTTTAGCTAAATACAGTGAACGTTTAGTGTCATAACTATTTTAGTTCTTTACAAAAAGATAAACTATTTCTCCCACAAAGAAAGGTACTTGCATTACTACTTAACAGGATTTTACTAGAAACCAGATTTTTGGAATTGTCTTCCAGAAATAACTTTCCTATCTATATGTTAAAAACAACAACTTTTTTTACTCTGATATTTATAAGTTCAGCTCCAGTACTCATAAAATTATTATTCAACCTTGAACAAAAACAGAAACTGTTTTTGAATAATCACTTTCATTAATAAACACAGTTAGATAACTTTCAATTAGCTATAGGAAACCTCTATTTTTAATGTTCACAGAATAATGAAAATCTAGTAAAAAGCTGTTTAATTGTTTTAGTCTTGATGTTCCTCACATATGAACACTCAATTTAGTGTACTTAGAACGAATTATATAAAAATATGAGATTTCAAGGGTTCATAAAGACAAGCTTTTCTGTTTTTCTATTTCAGTTATTTTAACTAAGGCAGAGAACTAGTATCAATTTCATTAGGAAACTGTAAATAATCAACATTCATCTGGTTCAGAACACTGTAAAATAAAACAATCTTGTAATTACTATTCCAGAACATATAGAAAAAAATCTAAAAACATTTTTTTTGCAAGTTTGACACAAGCACATACCCAATGTCAAAAACATTGGAAAATGTAAAAAAAAAAACAACAAAGTGATAAATACTTAAGTTATATATGTAGTAGCAACTTTGTTAATACAGTTGTACCTGTAAAATAAATAAGTAAAATTATTTTATTATTTTGTTTAACTTAGTATTCTGAAGTCTTTTACGAAAATTTCAATAATACTTGGTACCTTTCAATCCATAATTATCACTAATACTACAGTAATAAAAGAAAATATGGGGCATTTCTATAAGCATAAACACTCTCTGGAGGAGAAATTATAAAGGTGACCCCAATTCTAGTTTGTTTTGAAATGATGTTCTTCATTACCTTTACAACATATGTAAAATAAAAAGTGGTACCAAAACTACAACAACTCAATTTGATACCTTACATATGGAGCTTATCCACAGTTATATGGAAAATGACCTCTGAAGGAAAAATGACCACAGTGACCCTAATTTTTTTAAAACTTGAAATAATGTTTTTGATTACCTTCACAACATAATTAAAATAGAAAGTGGAAAGAAAAGCTGAACAATTCATTTTGATGGCGTACATATGGGGCTTATCTATAAGTATCGAAAACCCTCTGGAATAGAAAAAACAGCAACTATCAAATTTTAATTATTTTGAAATATGTTCTTAATTATCTTTACAGTATATGTAAAACAGAAATTGGCACCAAAACCAGATCTTCTTGTTTTGATGCCTTATAGTTATATATCATATATAAGGGCATCAAAACAAGTCCATATATTATTTGGGAACTTATCTATGGGCATAGGGAAATTGCCTTCTGCTGGAGAAACAACTCCAGTGACCCAATCTTATTTTCAAATAATACTATTGTTACCTTTAAATATATGTAAACAGAAGATGGCACCAAAACAGAAACTAATCATTTTGATACATTATACATTATATATATATGGGGGGGGGGGGCTTATCCATAAATGTGTGGAAAATGCCTACTGTAGAAAAACAACACAGTGACCACAATTTAACTTTGCTTTTAATTAATGTTTCTGATTAATTTTGATCTTTAAAATGTGAAAAACAGAAGGTGGCACCAGAACTGGAACTACTTCATTTTGATGTTTTATATTCTATATAGGATATTGTCTATATGCAGTAGGAAAATACCCTCTGAAATAATGTTCTTGATTACCCTTAGAACTTAAGAAGTGGAAATTGGCAATAACTTTAAACACTTCTTTCCATCATGACAAATTAAAACATATTGTCTTGCTTTGGATTAATTTAATGTTACTGCTGCAGTATTGGCAGTGCCTGTAGTGAAGATCAGGACTTTAGTTTTAGTTTTTAGGAGTTAAAGAGAGGCATTGATCATTTCTTGAAAAATAAAGGTATATTTTCCAAATGGTCCCTTGTCCGTATGTTTATTTGTTATGTTTGCTTAATAATAATAAAGCAGTGAAGGGTGGTACAGTGGTTGACTAAAGCTAGGCTAAAGGGCTAAGCTGCCCTCGATTTCTCGAGTGAGTATGAATGTCTTTAACTTTTAAGACTACAATGTTAATTTGATAAAAACGTGTTTACATTCTTACCTTGCTCTGATCAGATAAGCGATTTAAAAATCTATTGATGTTAAACATATTTCAGAGTTCCATTTACACCATACACGTCTGTCTCCCTTTACATCTAACTTAACTCTTCTCTAATGCCAAAGTAACTTTTCCCCACGATTTTGGTGACAACAGCGCTATCTTTTGCAGAAACATTTTAAAATGTCCCTTTTTGAATCTATATAAATATAGTAGTACTGTCTGTTGTATGTCCATGTAACTACTTCGCAGGGTGTGGATGGATCTTCACTAAAATTGGTGTGGAGGTTCATTAGATCCACGCGGAGATAAATACAAACTTTCTGGTTTGAATTTTGTGTTTTGCCATTTTTATTGGCGTTTTTTACCACTACCTCACCTCCTGTGGATGGATTTTCACTAAATTTGGTGTAGATTGTGTCTTTGGAAAGATACATACAAATTTAAGTTTTGCATTATTTTTGCATTTTTCGGTTTTTATGGGCGTTTTTTGCGTTCTTTACCACTACCTCACCACCTGTAGATGGATCTTCACCAAATTTGGTATGAAACTTCATTGGGTCCATAGGGAGATACATACAACTTCGCGGTTTCACATTTTGTGTTTTGCAGTTTTTATGGGTGTTTTTGCGTTTTTTACAATTACATATAAAGGAAGTAGTTTTTCATGTCCTAATATAATCTTTCATTAATCATGAATTTACATAAATTCCGTCCAGAGGACGAATACTCCAGCAAGTAAAATAAGATGGAGCATTATTAATAATTCCTTACATGGAGATTTGATTTCTTTTTACAACCATACAATGATTTACTAGTAGAGACTTTAACAACACAATTGTCATTAGACAAATAATTTATTGTTAGTGTGTCTCAATAAATAGATAAATTAAAGTAACAGAATTTAAAAAAAAACAACTTATTCTCACATTTAATGATGTAGATGAAGAAATGGTCAATAAAGTACAGGGTGGCCCAAATGTATCATTCGTATTTTAAAATGTAATAATTAAATAACTAAAGAAATACAACCATGCAGTTTTCAATATCCAGTAGCCCAACTCAAACAGTTTTTATTATCATGTTATTGATTTTGTTGTTGTTGTTGCTGTTTTCACTCAAATGGGTAATGTTATCTCGTAAAATGGCAACTGTGGAAGAAAAGCCTCAGTGAAATCGATTGGTTGGAGTGGGCCAATTCCTCGGCCCCCGTGTTCGCCAGGCATCACTCCACTAGGCTTCTAATGGTACACACGTATAAGTCTACTGGCATGTCAATAAAACTGTTTGAATTGGGCGACAAGATGTTAAAATCTGCATGATTGTATTTCTTTAATTATTTAATTATTAAATTTTACAATAGGAAAGATAATTTTGATTTACCCTGTATTTAAGTCTGACAATGATATTACAGTTGTGGGTGTTGCTAGCTGTGAGGAGGAGAATGCTGCTTTATAAAAGGACTTGTATTATTTGGTGAGTTGAGAAAATAAGTGTCAAATTGCTTTTAAATATAATAATGCAAAGTAACGCATGTAGTATATCAAATTTGAATTATGAATATAATTTTGATGGGAATAACTTCAACAGTGTTATGGAAGAAAAGGGTCTTAGTGTTCTGGTTGATCAGTCTCTTAAGCCATCCAATCGATGTACTATTGCTATTGGCAGAGCTAATACGGTTTTAGGTTGTATCTACAAAAACATAAGTGTATAGAGACTATAGTATCACATGGGTTAGGCCACATTTGGAGAACTGTATTCAAGCTTGAGCTTTTTATCATAGATGAACACTGGAATTCTTGGAAAGAATTCAGAGAAGGGCTACTAGGATGACACCTGGAATGGAAAGATTGTCATACGAAGACAGATAAAGATCTTTGAAATTGTTTTCTCTTGGAAAAAGAAGTGTTAAAAGGGATTTGATTGAGAAGTTTAAGATTGTTAAGGGAATTGATATTGTTCATACAATTTCTTCTTTTTTTCGTATTTAATGGTGAGAATGGTAAGACTAGGGGACACAAATATACATTTTGGCATGGTAGGAGCCATATTCAGCTAAGATAGCTTTATTTTTCTAACAGGATGATTGACCTATTGAACGGGTAGCCTTCAGATGTGGTAGATGCAGTTAATAGGGAATTTATGGGAAGGGTTGATAAATATTTGATTGATAAGGGAGTAGCTTTAAGTATTTCATATTTATTTTAGAATTTAATATAATGGAGTGGATGGGATGTGCTAGATGGACCAACAGGTCACATGTTGTCCTTAAGTTATATATATTTACGTATAAACTAAACCATTTTTTATTTTAGTTGAGAAATTTAGTTTTAGTCTCAAATCCATTTACATTACAGCTTTTGAGGAACAATGGCCCTGGTAGTCTTATTAATTTTTCCTTAGATAAATCTTACTATAATGGACGTATCGTGTATGTCAGTATCTATGTATGTAACCAAAATGCCTGCATCATCTATTAAATGTCACCACAAACAAAAATTCATAAAAAAATCACATTTTGGGTATTCAAGATTCAGACAATTAGAAAAATAACTGTGATATCTACAACAACCATTGCTTTACAGTAGAACACAATTTTAAATAAAAGTACTCTTCTCACAACAAGAACACGACTTTCACTAGGACTGTATGTGAGGGTTTGGTTATACCTTTATTGACATAATTTTTAAATGTAGAACTGAGAAACTGGCGTTCTTTAAAAAAAACTATTATTTTTGAATAAAGGATAGCACTTTTAATATATAAAAACAGTACAGTTTATATAAATAAAATTTATGAAAATGTTGAGCTCTGTACATTGAATCATTTTGATGCAATGAGTTGTGTATGATTAAAGAGCACAATCAGAACACTTTTTCCCTGCAGTACTTTAGAAAATGTTTACTTTTCTAATTTTTTTCAGTGAGGTATGAATACTACGATTAATAATTAATACTACAAACAGCCGCCCATAGGGCGGCGTTTCTATTAGTGATAATAAAGAAGAAATTAATACGTCTAAATGAAAACTTTTTCTAGTTTATTTTGTGCGACGTTTCGAGCAGACGCTCTTTGTCAGGCAGAAACATTAGTGTTATAATGGAATTATGCTCAGAAAATAAATTAGAAAAAGTTTTAAATTAGACGTGTCAATTTCTTCTTTATTATCATTTATCCAAGTTCTCCTTTTCACTCTTGCGGAACAATGCTCATTCAAGAACTTTTCTTGACTTAGTTTAAATAAAATATATTTGATACATTTCATACATACATTTAACTTTAATCGTGTATGGCAAGTGAAGTTGGGTTTTATTTTATAATAACAGCGTATTTTATTGTAATTAATTACGATCTTTGTAATTAGTTCGAATCGACTTTGATATACAATAAATTAACAGCTAAATAAAAATCGGTATTTTATTGCTTGAAAAAATTCACACCCAGGTCTAAAGCAATCCGGAGAGCGCCTCGAGTTATTGAATTTTACTGCAGATATCATTAACTAAACAACTCTTTGGCGTAGTATGTCAATCTGTCTTTATTAATGAAAATCTCTAAAGTATACTACCCATTTGTGGACTAAATTACAAGTTCTTGACGAATAGAATGTCCCCAATCTTGATTTGTGCGAATGGTGCTCTTAAGAACTGTTATATTGTAGACTGCGCCCAAGACTTGTTTCTTTTTAACACTTGTCTGACTTGCTTGATAATACGTTAATATGTTTAATGTGGATATAGTAAAGTCGGAGACTCTGGTTTTTCCTTTTCTGTTAAATGAGGTTTGCCTGTTTGCATGTGTGACGTATCATTCTGCGAAGTCCTAGAGAAGCTTAGAATTGTCACATAGTTCTATCAAAGTTAGTTCTTGGTCAGAATTTCTGTGGTCCTCATTTACTGAAGTTGTCTCCATTTTGTTTAAGGAGCCGACTATGAAGATATAGAGAAAAGGTTTAGTAGTGTTATTAAGAATAATGTTTTTGTTTTCATTTATGTTTCTTCTTTATTGTCAATCACACACCAGTGTTAACTGTAAAACTCTGCCACCATCTTAACATTTCACTTTTTGTTATTGGCGTTTTTCTTAGCGCAAACCTACACAATGGGCTATCTGCGGGGAATCAAACCCCAGATTTTAGCGTTGTATATCTGAAAACTTACCGATGTCCCACCAGAAGACTAACATTTCACAGACACCAGAAACTGTAAAATATACCCATATTAATTTAATGTCATTTTGCTAAAATATTTGATATAACATGTATGGATGATCGTTCAAGTTTGGATATCTGCAGTAATTTACAGGGGTATTTAATAACCACTGTTGGTTTTTAAAATGAATCTATCTAAGTGACGTTTCTTAATACAATATATGAATCCATGTCATAACAATATCGATGTATTCTGTTTTAGGGCAACTGTTACTGACCCTCGTAGCTCTGACTCATCTTCCCTTAAAGTGAGTATAAATATGTGTGCAGATGCATACTTTTAAACTTTTTTAACCCACAGTTTATAGCTGATAACATTTACGTATAGAATATGCGAGTATGCAACCTATTCTACTTAAAACGTACAGTATATTCGTGTAGGTAAATTATTAAACTGATGGATGTCGATTTAACTTCCAAGCCTCAAAGGAAGCGGATGCAAGACTTGTACTTGTATCAAAACTTTATCTTCTTCTAGGTGATATTCCTGTATATTTACAAAGGTAGATTTCCTTGAAATGAAATCTGTTTAAAACTTCAGTAAAGTTTGTCTTATCGGAGAAATCAGTGCCATCTATAAGAGCAGTTATTAACTACAATTTATTTCGAAAACAAGCTTTTCAAACATTTTAAACCAAATATCTGTTTTTGTTCATATCGAATATTGATTTGATATTTACATATTTTAGTTCAACTTACAAGAGTCTAAATAATTTACTTGCCTTAATTTTCAGAAATGTTTTAGTTCAGCTCACCAGAATCGAAATAATGTATTTGCCTTGGTTTTCATGTTATCCAAACACAACATGAGTCTACATGGCCCCATTCGTTCTTTCTAAATAGTTGTTAGTTTTTAATTTGTGCTTAAAATCAAATTTGCACACCAAGTTCGAATTTTAACTTGGCTCTAAACGAATAATTGTACCAAACGTTTATAATCAACCAGTAATGGTCAATAATAAAACATATATGTGGTAATAGCAGTAAAAAAGTGCACTCGGTATTTCTTTATTTTCAAATATTGAAGATTGTTAGTTTAGTTATTTTACTTAAACTGTTTGCTTTTT